CCCCCCCAAGAGCCCAACAAAGTATCAGAGACATCTCATTAGCTGTATTACAAAATCCTCTGGTGATCAAGGTTTCAGCTGCATCATTTCCTTGTCACAGAAGAAAGTAGCCAGTGAAAATTACACTGCTACCTCATACCATAGATGCCAAAGGTGCTGGTTCAGACACCTAAGGTCAGCTCCTGTTCCAGAAACACCACACTTTGTGGTAAAGGGCAGGTTCTCATGATGGCCACTACAGAGCTTTTCATTTAGGTCCCCAATGCCATTCCTGCATTATCCTCTTGTAAACCAAGGTCAGCAGTGAAGTCTGGCCAGTCAACAAAAGGAGCAAAAGGGCCAGTCCTGTCCAAAGCAGGCAGACGAGTCGTGTTAATTTGATTTGATCTGACTTCTAGAGGCTGCGTTCGTTCCATGGCCACCAAATGCTGTGCCAGGGAGTCAGCTTAAGCAGTAAAGGGTCTTAGAGAAACCTCACTTTGCAGCCTGGAGCTGGAGGAAAGAACAGGGGAAGCGCACCTGAAAGATGCTGCTTTTACACAGAGTGATTGTAATAAATTAGTCAAGACAGTAACTGCTGTAACAACAAAAAAGGCAGCAATGAAAAAAAGGAGGAAAGAGGGAAGTGGGTATACCTCCATGGATGTCATTAATTCAGTTTTAAATAGATAATTAGTTAAAATCTTGTTTATTTAGCAGACTGGTGTGCCCAAGTTGGCAGTTTTAAAATTCTAGACAGGGCCTTTGGGTATTTATAGCCTTTTTAAAGTGCTGACAATAAAAAAGTCAGACCTTAAAGTTTCGGGCTCCGAAAAAGAATGTTCACTGAAAACCTGCCATACTATTCAGTTTTTTATTTACTCGTCCTATCTTTTTCCTTTTCGTGGGGAAGGAAACAGTGTTCTATGGCAACACTGTAATTGTCACTGCAATTCCGTAGTTAAACTGGAAGCTTGAATCAAGGTCTTCTAAGTTGTACTTTTGAAAAATCACAAATACTACACACACTAAAAATTCACCACCTATAGTAAAAATGCTGCTACAGAAAAGCACTTCAAGCTCCATAACGTGTAAGAGCCAAGATCAAGCAGATGATAAAGACACTGGGAAATGCAGAAATGCTGAGGGCTAAGAAAGGAGAGACTTGAGTTCTGTTTCCTACTTTCCTGACTAAACCTTGCAGGAGAAGGTTCAGCGCCTCAGTTTCCTCTTTTGTAAAAAAAAAAAAGGGGGGGGTAGACTTGCTCACCCCTCAAGGTTGCGTGGATATCAAAGGAGACATGTTTGTGAAAGTACTTCTATGAGTCTGGTTATCACTGGCAGGCTCAGTGCAGAGAGCCAGGCACTGCCATTGGGGACACAAATGACACGGTTCCTCTTTGGGGTCAGGGGTACTTTTTAAGCATCAGCTGGATTGTCACTAAATGCACCAAGTGGTTGAACAGCAAGAGTTTCCCAACCAGCAAAGGAGAACAAGTGGGAAGAGAGGAGTCAAGGGTGGGCGTGCACTGTGTCTGGGGGCCTGATCCCTGAAGTGGGGTCACCTGCAGTGGGAGGAAGGGCCCCTGTGTGTAACCGGGGAGCCCTGCCCTGGGGCGCCCGCCTCGGAGGACGCCTGCCTTGTCGGGCCCCGGCCCTGCGGACGCTACTCTCGGACGGGAAGCCCCTTGCCCCCGGCCCTGCCGGGATCCAGGACGCGCGGACCCGGGAGGCGCCAGCCCTCACCTGCGGTGTCCCAAATGGAGATGTTGTAGGAACGCCACTGCTTCAGGTAGAAGGCGCCGCCCACCGTGCTGACCGTGTCGGCGAAACGCCGCTCCATGTACCTCTGCAGCAGCGACGTCTTTCCCACATTCATGTCCCCCAAAAGCACGATCTTCCCGTCCGGCTTCCACATCTTCCCGAAGAAAGCCTCCCGCGCGTCCTGAACCCCGCGCCCGTCCGGCCCGTGCGCCCCGGGCACAGCTGGAGCAACCGGACACCGGCCCCGAGACGGGTCGGACCCGACCCGGCTTGGACCCGGACCTCGCGCGGACCCGGACTCGCGGAAAGCCTAAATTTGCCGGGACCCCGCGGACTTTCCTGTCCCGACGCCTGGACGCGCGGAAGAAGCGCGTGTCTGCGCCGGGGCAGCACCAAGGGACTCGTCCAGGGCCCCGCCCCGCGCCCTGTCCCGCCCTTCTCCCGGCCCCGCCTCCCACTTTCCGCTGGAAAAAATCCCCCCACTCCGGCCACGCCTCCC